ATCTTCTCCCTCCTTTATGGGGTACCCGCGCTATGCAGCGACAATGAGTTTTGATTACGGAAGAAGGCATGGTATACCTTTGGTAGGGAGTCAAGATAAGATTCAGGGACCTCCATCTCTGCTAAGGCATTGCTGTTGATGGCCATTGCAGCCTTCAGGATTTGGTTTGCACAATCACGTTGTGCTGGAGCTGCTTCCTTGTTTTATTGTGAAGGCCACCGGGAGGCATGCGAGGCACTGGGAGCCACCATTTCTCATCATGGCGGTGAAAAGCCGTCACAATCTGGTGCAGCAATACCTTGCTCAAGCTCAACATACCAGAACTCTGGGTCTCTGAAGCTTTCCAGGATTTCCTGTCAGAATATATGGTGCTATGAGAGAACTAAATTTTTCGATCAACTGCAATGAATCCACAGTTCAGAAAAACTCACAAGGAGCATATGATCCAGCTTCCGGAGCGCTGGAAGATTAATGTACAAATCAGACCGTGGTTTAGTTGTCATGATCTGAAATACGACATCAAGACATTTGTGCAATCAGTTATTGAGTGGCAATGACATGCATCAATTTCAGTGTGTAATGCATAGTAATCCTTGAACAATAAGTACAAATCGAAAGTGGTCCACTTTTTATGATCTGAAATGTATGCAATCTCATGATTTATATGATGCATCATACGTACAAACATTTAATGTGTCTAATGCATCGTACGTACATATAAATCTCATGATTTATATGTTCGGTGTCTAATGAGTACAGACATTACTACCCCTTAGTGACACTCATTGATAGCTTTCAGTTGGAATTTACTCACTGCAGAAACAGATAATCATTATTGCTGACTTCTGTTTGAAATTTCCTTGTTCTCTTTACAAAATTAGAGAAATTGCTTGTGTATGTTCACAAATTTAGGTATAGCCTTTTGCCATTTCACTGATGAACATATCTTATTTTACTATTACAGCATTTTCTATGACTAGTATAATTTTCAGCTAATCCTTTCTCGCACCATTTTTCTTTTCTCCATTAGAGCAAAATCAAGTTACTTGGTACCAAATCCAGGGTAGCTAAGCTCACGTTTAATATATCATTTTCCAGTGGTCCATATGCATCTAAAGGCCCATTATAAACTGTTCTGGTACTAACACTTCTATCGAAACCCAGCTGTTGTTCCTGCTATTGAACAACCACGACATTAGTACTGTTTTCCCAGAAGATGTGAATTCCAGTTTGAGAACCTCATATCGTCAGTGTGGCAGTGCTCAATTATCAACTGTGAAATTAAAGGCATTCACCGTACGAGCAAGAAATTTGAACGCCATTTCAATTTCCAACGCATAAATTGAACTCGCACATTCTGTATCGGATCCGTACTGTTAGATGGAAAAAAAAACCGTGATAGCCGCTGGAAATTTCAGCACTCGGTGCGACGGCCGGAATGTTATGGGATGAATGAAATGGTGGATGAAGAGGATGGCGTGTTTGCTAGCCACCTCTATACATTTCCATTTGGCACTAACACGATGGGCCAGCCTGGGCACGGCCCGAAAAAGCATGGCCCAGGCACAGCCCGGCCCGTCTAGCATCGTGCCCGTGCCTGACACGGCCCGGCCTTAGTGCGTGCCTGGGCCGCCATTTCGGCCCACAGTGCTGGCCCAGCCACGGCACGGCTAAGCAGGCCGGCACGGCTGCGGGCTGTGGCGCCTCAGAGCCGTTGGATCTCCCTCCCCCGCTCCATCCGGCCGTTGGATTCGACTGTCGGAGGGGAGGGCTATATAAGCCGTCGCGCCCCCGTGGAGGCATCCCACCTAACTCTAATTCATTTCACCCGCCTCTTTCCCTCTCTCTCTCTCCTGTCTCGCTCTCCTCTGTGGCTCTCTCGTCTCTCCGCTGTGACGACTCTCCACTCCTCTCTTCTTCTCCCCCTCCGGTGGCCTCTTGAGCCACCGGTGGCCGGCACTGGCACACGGCACAGCATAGTACTCCTCTCTTCTTGATCTCTCATCGTCGATGTAGCCTCTTCCTCTCCTTGTCGTCCTCCTCGTCGTCTCCATCGACCTCACCGGATGCCGGCTGCTCTGGTGCTCCGGATTAAGATCCGTTGAGAAACCAGGAGGCAAATCTGTGTTTCGTCGACGACGCCGGTGATTCCGGTGCTCCGGCTTTGAAGGTAACCCTAACCCTAACCCTAACCCTAACTTGCTAACCTAACCCTAGATCTGTACTGACTCGTTGTTTTTTGAAGCTGTTGAGGAACCGGACGCCGGCGAGTGACGATGGCCGGCTCCGAGGACGAAACGGTTGAGGTTGGCGCCAACGAAGAGAGGCGGCTGTGCGGGTTGGTCGGAGATGACGATGAGGACGACCTACGCGAGGACGCCGAGGAGCTATTCGACCATAGCGCTGAGGCTCCCATTGATGTCAGCGATGGTTAAGAAGGCGGGGCAGCAAACCAGGAGGAAGGTGAAGAGGACGAGAACAGCGCCAAGCGCTCTCGTCCCCTACCTTGCCAGTGTGGCTGGATTTCAAGAAGCTCTACAAAACGGTAAAGGGTAAGAAGGTTAGGTATGGAGCTAAGTGCATCCATTGCTCTAAGCAATATTCTGCTCTCTCTAGTGGTGGCACTGGTCACCTCACTCGGCATAGGGATAAATGCCCCAGGAGGCGTGAAAAAACTCGCATGTCTCAGATCTCTTTTAATCCTGATGGTAGTTTGCGTAATTGGGAGTACTATCCTATCCGTGTCCGTACTGAACTAGTTCGTTTGCTTGCTCGGCTAGATGTTCCTATTACTATGGGTGAAAGTGATGTATTTGAAGAGTACATTAGATCTGCTCATAACCCGGCATATGTTCCTGTCTCTAGGCAAACCACCACTAGAGACATGGTTAAATTTTTCACTGATCGTAAGGCTAAGCTTGTTGAGAATTTTGGTTCTTCTGCTGTTAATTGTGTTTGTTTGACCTCTGATATTTGGTCTGGTAATGCTAAAGAGGACTAACTTAGTATTGTTGCTCATTACATAAACTCTGATTGGCAACTAGAGAAGATGGTACTTGGTCTTGTGCTTATTGATGTGTCTCACAATGGACAAAATATTGCTGATCGTGTTGTATCTGTGCTTACTGATTATGGTTTTACTGAAAAGGTCTTTACTGCTACTTTAGACAATGCATCATCTAATGTTTCTGCCATGCGTACACTTAGACCTGTGCTGTCTAAATATCTTGGTATTGAGGTTGTTGATGATCCTCATGAATTAGACAATGCATCATCCCTTACTGCAGTTAATTCTATGTTCTTGCATCAGCGTTGTACATGTCATATTACCAATCTGATTGTTAAGGAGGCCCTTGATGCTCTTAAGCCTTTGATTGAAACATTTAGAACTGCAATATCATTTTTAAACTCATCTAACCAGAGAATTGCTGCATACAAAAGTTATTGTATTGCCACTAATATTAGGCCTAGAAAATTTCAGCTAGATATGGAGGTAAGGTGGAATTCTACATATCTGATGCTTAAATATTTGTTTCCTCATATGATCCCATTCACTACTTTCATGCATGCTCATTATCCTAGGATTGAAGGTGGTCCATTCCTTTTAACTGATGAATATTGGGCAATTGCAGAAAAAGTGCTTAAATTTCTTGAATTATTTTATGATTCTACAGTTGCATTGTCTGGTGTGTACTATCCTACATCTCCACTTATGATTCATTATCTTGTTAAGATTGCTATAGACCTTAAGAATTATGCTAATGACAGTCACATTAGTCCTATGGTTCAACCTACGATAGATAAATATAATAAATATTGGAGGGACATACTCTTGCTTTATTCTTTTGCATTCATCCTGGACCCTAGAGCTAAAATGAAATGTTTCAATAGAATGCTTAGGAGGTTGGGTTCCCTTACTGGTACATATTATACTACTTACCAGCTTGGCACTAGAGCTAGACTTATTGATGTTTACAACAAGCATGAGGAGAAATATGGAGCTGTTAGGTTGAGGAGGACTGTCCCTCCTAACCTGTCTGGTAAGAAAATATCTGTTTGGGATAAAATTTATGATGATGATGTTGGTGGTTCTGTTGGTGATATGCATCCTCTAGCTGCTACTCTAAGCATGGCTAGAGATACCTCTGCAACTGCCTTGCTGCATGCTGCTAGTTCATCAGCTTCTAATGCTTCTGAACTTGTTTCTTACTTGGACTGTGACACTATGAATCAATTAAATGATGATTTTAATATCTTGAACTGGTGGCATCAGCACAAACTCACATATCTAGTGCTGTTCATCATGGCTAAAGATATTTTAACTGTTTCTGTGTCTACCATATCTTCAGAATCCACTTTAGTATGACTGGCAGAATCATCGAGGAGCGGCGGAGGAGACTAAAGCCTGAAATGGTGGAGATGCTGACCTGCATCAAGGATTGGGAGGCTGCTGAAGCAAGGCTGCAACACATGATGGAGGACAAGGAGCTTGAAGAAGTATTTGAAGAACTTTATCTTGATTAGTGTCTTAGTTATCATTTATGTAATGGACTGTAATATGCTAGACTTGGACTTTGATGTAAGGACAATGAATACTATGGAGCTGGGCTGCACTCTTTTTTCTGTTTAGGATTTCTCACAAGGGTGAGTTTTGTCTAGACAAGTTTTTAATGAGGCAGCCATTGCACTAAAGCTCTTAATAAATTGCTATTTTGTTATCTCTTCCTGTTTTTTCATCGCTGACACTTAGTGTCAGGGCCGGCACGGGCACTGTAGTGCCATCGTGTCCAGTGGCACGGCACGGCACGGCACGCCTAAAGGATCATAGTGCCGTGCCTGGGCTAGTACTTTGGCATGACGGCACTATTAGACATGACACGGTATGTAAGCCGTGCCTGGCCGGGCCGTGCCTGGCCATGCCCGTGCCAATGCCAGTGCCACGCCGGGCGGCCCAGTTGGCCAACTATAGGCACCTCAAGCCTGGTTCCGTTGGGGAATGACTACCACATGGGGACCAGCTCGACGATGTGGTCACTGACGCAGAGCAGCCAGTCCATCTCCCGCCGCCACATGGCCTTCTTCTCCGGCGAGAGCGGCTCAAGCCTCCAGAGCTGCCCGAAGATGGTAGCTGCGAACGAACGCAAGACGCTTTGCATTATTTGGGAATTAATTTACTAAACCCACTCCAAGCAATGGCGTTGGAGGTGGTCACGGCGGCGAGTTCTGACCGCAGAGGTTGGTGATTGCATTGGAGATGGCGAGCGCCGTGCAGACGCCCTTGCCGCTCCCGGACATGTCCTCGCCGAGCAGCAGCTTCGCGAACCGCTCCTTCATCATCTCCATCTCTGTCAGTTCAGTTGTCGAAACACATGGCGCGCACACATTAGAGAATTTCGCCACCGAGAATCCAGGATGCTGTGAGTATACAAGGCGGTTCACCTGATGGTGCTCTGCGCTTGTGCTGCTGCCTGGCCATGTCGGTGGCGGAGGCGCACCCGCCTGGCTTCCTGGCCGCTGCCGCCGCCGGCACCGGCGCTGCGGGCGGCCACTCGTCGGTGGACGCGGCATCGGAGCTGGAGCTGCTCCCGTCGGCGGAGGCGGAGTCCGTGAATGCCGCCTCGCTCCGGGCCTCCCTCTCGTCCTCCCCCGCGCTCCCCATCCCACGAACGCGCCTGCCTGGTGCCTGCTCTATCGAGCTCCAAGTTGTCACGGAGCAGGTGCCAAGTACCACCACGTGCCCGTACATACGTACGCGCGCAAGCCGTGGCGTCTTGCATCGTGCTGCGTGCGCAAACTTGCTGCTGCAGTGCGCTGCAGCGGCGCGCTGCTCCGTTCCTGGGCTGGCACGGGGTCGCGCACGTGACGAGGCGAGGGGCTGTGGTGTGTGGGCTTGCGCGCGCGGTGTGCGTTTCAAGCCGAGGGAGGGGAGTGGAGTGGTGTGGCCTGTCCGGGCTTCTCTTGGTGTTTCGGTCTCAGGGTGAGGAGGGCGAGTGCAGGGGGCCCGGGGCTTAAAAAAGTTGAGAAATTTTTTCTATTTGGCCACGAAAATAATGCTCCTTTCCTATTTGGTACTGAAACCGAACTCGAGTTTTTCTTTGCTATTTGACATTCCGTCAGTTCCGTGAGCAATCACCATTAGGTGTCCAAGTGGGCCATGGGAAAAGACCAAAATACCCTTTGGAACCAAAAGAAGTCGGTCACGGAACGAGTCACGCTCATACGGGCGGAACTCCCTCCCTGTAACCCTAGATCGAGCGGCCGCCATGGGTGCGGGCGGCTCAGCCTCGGAGGCGGGCGGCGAGGACTCGGAGGCAGGCGGAGCGGCCATGGGGGCGGGCGGCGCAGCCTACCAGGCGCCTCACGTGGCCAATCGGCCGTCCCGCGCGGCCAAGAAAGCGGGCGGCACGGCCAACCAGGCGGGTGGCGCGGCCTCGGTGGCGGGCGGCGCGGCCAAGCACGTGACCCAAGCGACCAAGCAGGCACCCCGGCCGGTGGCGTCGGTGTCGGGCGGTGTGGCCTCGGTGCGGCACGGCGCAGCCTCGGAGGAGGGCGACGCGGCCATGGATGAGGGCGACGCGGCCACGGAGGCGCCCGACACGGGCATGGAGACGGGCGGCGCGGCCACAGAGGATGGCTGTGCGGCCAGGACACAGCACCAACTCTCTGTAGGGTGAGTTTATCATCTCCATGTCCTCCATAGCAGCTCCATATCAGTAGGGCTGGAGAAGTTCTTATGCATCCTGTTGTTACTGTGCTCTCACAGGATGGATCCATCTACTAGTTTTCTATTGAAAACTCATTTGCTTGGCAATCGCAAAAAGGTTAGAAAGGATGTCAAATGTTTTTGTTTTGAGATGGTTGTTGACTCAGATTTGTCGAATTATAAGGATTTCATTGACTCAGTTACAAAGAAGTACCCTCCAAGCTACTTGGAAGTTGCACATGTCCAGTACTATAATAATGTTCTTAAGAATTTTCTAGAAGTAAAATCAGACCAGGATTTCATGTCTATGTTTGATGTACACACTAAGAAGAAAGTTGTAGAGATGTTTGTCGCTTATTGTGATCCCTCAGAGAAATTTGAACCTATCACCGAGTGGGAGTTTGATGCTGAAGGGCAGCCTGAAAACAATACAGAGGAGGATGACGATGATTACCTTAGAAATCCTTTAGCAAAGAATCAACATGTTGGTGTTGATGAGGAGATCATGTACTTGGACATTGTACCTGTGAATGTTGTAGATGTGCCTGGATGTTCTGAAAAAGGGAAGAAAAAAGCAGTGGCTGAGGATGGCTCAGAGGATGAGTTTGAGGATGAGGATGAATTAGAGGATGCTGAGGATGAGCCATATGAAGAAGTAAATCATCACCCAATTATTAATTTCGATGAAGAAGATCCTCCTATGGAAGTAGGCACTACTTATCGTAACATGTACGTGTTCAAGTTGGCTCTTTGTCAACATGCAATTAAACATGAGTTTGAATTCAACATAGAGAAAAGTTCAAGAACTAAGTTTAGAGCCTATTGTTCAAGGAAAGTGGAGGATAATTGTCCATGGAGGCTACATGCATCTACAACGGTGGACAAATGTACTATTATGGTAAGAATAATTTTTTAGTTGCTACTACATGTAGGATGACAATGTTATGTTTTACTAACTAGCTATGTTGCTCTTTTGTAGGTGAAGAAGAATAACTTTGCTCATGCTTGTTCTAGCACTAGAAGGAAAAAGATAGTAAGGAATGCTACCAAACATTGGATATGTTGGAAGGTGAAGGACTTTCTGATACAAGATGCTACTTTGAGAGCAACAGAATTGCAAAACAAAATTAAAGAACCAGAGGGTATATAAGGGTCAACAACTAGCATTGAAACAACTTTATGGTGATTGGGATAGCAGTTTTAATAATTTGTTTAGTTTCAAAGCATAAGTTGAGAGCTCTTGTCGTGGTAGCAAAGTAATTGTTGACCATTACATAGTTAATGGGGAATTCAGATTTAGGAGATTCTTTTTTGCCATGAAACCTTACATAGATGGGTTCCTTAATGGTTGTAGACCTTACTTGGCAATACACAGCACATTCCTAATAGGCAAGTTCAAGGGGCAATTGGCTAGTGCTTGTGCAGTTGATGGACATAGTTGGTTGTATCCTGTTTGTGTTGGAGTTTTTGATTCCGAAACTAATGACAATTGGATCTGGTTCATGAGTAGGCTTAGAGAGGCTATTGGGTCACCTCTGGGTTTAGCAATAAGCACTGATGCAGGTCAGACAATAATGGTAGCTGTTGCTGAAGTGTTTCCGCAGACAGAGCATAGAGAGTGCATGTTTCACTTGGCAAAGAGCTTCAACAATTGGATTAAGCAGTACAAGTCCATGAATTTGGATGATTTGATGGATAAGATCAGGCAATTATTTATGATCAAGTGGAACCAAAGGAGAAAAATTGGAAAGAAACTAGATAGCTTGATTCTTCCCCACATAATTAAGAAGCTAAATGAATAGAGCAGAGAATTGAACTTGGAAGTGTCAGAATGCTCAGAAGAGGTGGCTGAAATTACCTTACTTGGTGGCAGGGGCTTTAGGTTTGTGGTGAACTTGGTTGAACGAACATGTTCTTGTAGACAATGGCAAGTCTCTGGCATTCCTTGCAAACATGCACTAGCATTCATTACAGCACTACCTAATGCACCTATTGACAAATATGTTGACTTCTACTACTCCATTGAAAAATTTAGAGTAGCCTATAGTGCATTAATCCCTGCTATTCCTAACAAGACACAATGGCCTAAATCTACCCATGGCTTCTTCATGTATGGACCACTATCTAAGTCTATAGCTGCTAGGCATAAAACTGAGAGACACAAAGGCCGTAGTGAAAAGAAGGGCAAAAAAGGGCAGCACCAATGTCCTATCTGTAAGGAATACGAGCATCACTGGCAGAACTGTAGGAAGGGCAGCAAAGAAGACATTGAAGCAACGAAAACTCTTAGGTACGTTTCATCTTCTATGCACATTTTATTTTTATTAGATTCCACCAAGGTTAGCTCAATTTTCACTTTCTGTAATTAGATTCCAACTCATTTTATCTCATCCTAGTACTTTTAATATTACTGTAGTCAAAACTTGGAACCTAAACCTACAGCTAGTAAGAAGAGAAAGGGTGTTGACTCTCATTCTGGACCAGTAGGAAGGTAATTAATAAAAACTTGAATAAATATTCTACTAATAGAAAGCTAATGGTGACTTCTAAGTACCAAACTCTCTTCTTTTTTAGTGTAAGCTTGGAGATTACAAGTAGGAAAAAGGGAAAGCGCGGTTCCTCTAACTCTAGAGCATAAAAAAGGTAGCCTATACTAAATCTGAATTTATTTTGCATGGCCATTTTTTTGATTTGATCTCAAATAATGTTTTCATACACATGAACATGTACAGGTCTAGAAGTGATTCAAATCAACCAGAACCACTTTCAATTGAGCTTCCTACGTCCAAAGATAAACCAGAAGCTGTTGTCAAGTTAAAGGGCAAAAGGAGGAAAAAAGAAGTAGATAAAAACAACAACAACAACAAAGCCTTTTAGTCCCAAGCAAGTTGGGGTAGGCTAGAGTTGAAACCCAATATGAGCCCCTAGTCACGATTCAGGCACGTCAATTGCTGCTTTCCAAGCATTCCTATCCAAACAGAGATCTCTAGGTATATCCCATCCTTTCAGATATCTTTTTATTGCCTTCTCCCACGTCAACTTCGGTCTTCCTCTACCTCTCCTCACGTCGGTATCTCGACATAGGACTCCACAATGCACTGGTGCCTCTGAATGTCTTCTTTGGACATGGCCAAACCACCTCAACCGATGTTGGACAAGCTTTTCTTCGATTGGTGCTACCCCTAGGTGATCACATATATCATCATTCCGAACTCGGTCCATCCTTGTGTGACCGCAAATCCAGCGCAACATACGCATTTCCGCGACACTCAGTTGTTGGACATGTTGTCTTTTTGTAGGCCAACATTCTGCTCCATACAACACAGCGGGTCTAATCGCCGTTCTATAAAACTTGCCTTTATGCTTTTGTGGTACCCTCTTGTCACAAGCAAGCCAGATGCTTGGCGCCACTTCATCCACCCTGCTTTGATCCTATGGCAAACGTCTGCATCAATATCTCCATCCTTCTATAGCATCGATCCTAGATAACAGAAGGTATCCTTCATAGGCACCACTTGACCTTCCAACCGCACCTAGTAGATAAAAACGCTGTAAAAAATCTTTTGTCGCAGCTTGATAGCCCTGCAATGGGCACAAGGAGCAAAAGACTCCTAGTAGTCCTGCCCTTGGCACAAGAAGCAAAAGAAGGCTGAGTTTGTGATTCTTGTATGAGAAAATTGCCTAAATGTGTATTGTGTTAGAGATGTCTATGTCATGTAACGGATGCAAACCTGTGAAAATGTTTCTGTGCATGTGAACCTGAATGTAACTCTTATTGTGATCATGGATGCTAAATATTGCATTTATCTCGAACCTGTGAGTTTGTTCAAAATAAATGTGTTATTGTCATGCTGCATGCCATCTTTTCAAATTAGACGTTGTTGGAGACATATTTTATTGTTGTTATTCATGTACCTAAAGAATTTATTTTGAACTGAATATAATTATAAGTTTGA